CTCTCTCTCTCTCTCGCTCTCTCTTTCGCTCTCTTTCTCTCTCTCTCTTCGCTGCGCTGGTGGAATGCACGTTTCTCAATTAAGCTCTGTACGAGAGAGAGATAGAGAAACTCGTCCTACACGTGTGCTGAGCTCGTTATCTAACCACGAAACTCAATATGATTAGAAACTAGCTTGGATCGAATTTCGGAAAAAGCAAACGAGTGAATTCATATCTCTCTCTCTCTCTCTCTCTCTCTCTCTCTCTCTCTCTCTCTCTCTCTCGCCAATATTTCAGGATAATAGCACTCGAGTCTATGTGACTATTGTATGATATTAAATCGAAGTGGGAAAACTCATTATCAACGTGAACGAGCTGTGCATCGAATATCAATTATAACTGCGCTAAATTCTCATTTGTATTTACTTATTTTTGAAAATCTATTTTGCAAGGGGTTGAAGAAATTAATGTACTGCAAGAACTTGAGGGTTTTTTAGTTGGAAAACAGCCTTGGCAAATGTACAATCCGTACTCTCTCACTCACAAAGCCGAAGTTGTCGGCAAGCCCGGTACTTCCGCCTTGCAAACTCACGTAATTTTGAAAGCGTAGTATACACCACCCTAAAATTTTCCCGAGTCCAAACGCTTGAGGCACATCGCAAATCAAACGAGGACGTAAGCCAAGCTGCCTTGTATATATACCACTGACTTGTATATCCCATTCAAATACACACTGCAAGGTACGAACAATGTTTGTCCAAATTGTGTCGATATTTGTAAACTTTTGTGTGTCACTCTCTCTTTCCCTCCTAGGCACCGAGAAACTTTTCTGATTCCTGCTTCACATAGCGATAATTACAGCAGTGAATAGTAACTCTTAAATTGTGAGAATCAAGCTTAAAATATCCTACGTTAAGGAGTTCGAATTAAATCGTTTAATTTTTTCCAGCAAATTTTCATTGTCCAATAATAAATACGGCACTGTTTTTAATTAACATTTATAAAATGCAGACTGCAAGTGACTGTAGAATAATTCTTGTAAGATGGAAGTCTAAAAAAAAATATCCGATGTCGAGTCTGAGGGATGGTGATGAGAGATACTACTGCGCGTTTGTTGCAATCAAGCGTTTAAACAAAGTAATCATTTCTTTTGCTCGCGGCAATTTAATTAGCTGCCCACGTGAAGAACAAAAAGTAGTAGCAGCCGCGAGCAACCGACCGTGTGATTACAGCACGAAAACAATATAACCTCGGCTAATATCTTAGACTCTACAGTGGATGCGCGCAATTGCAAGGGTGCTAGATTGTGTAGCGTTATTTATTTGTTTTCTTCTCTTTATATAAACGTTCCTCACCTTTATACCAAAGATAGACCAATTTAGTTTATCTACAACGTTCTATAGTTTAGTAGTAGCTTCACTCAGCTTTTGGAACCCAAGAAGCATTTCTCATCTGTGACCAGTAACTTTCTGTTGATTAAGGTAAGCTACATTGTAGGTGCGCTTGGCCTACTCTCTCGCTCTCTCTCTCGGTTTGGAAGCGTGATAACTTTCGCCTCGACGGAAATTCCCAGACTTAGGCTTAAGTACACATACGTGTCTTGTTATATTGGATTCGACGTATATTAGATTAATTTATTTTTTCCCTTTGTCTCAACATGCTTTAAGGATTCTCATAATTCTGCCGGTTGAATGAAAAGATCATGTAGCAACGATTAACTTTTGCAATGTGATTACATTTTATCTATGCTGTATTATATTAACGTGTTGATGTTTTGACGTTTAATATTTGATGGATCGTATTTTTCGTATAACTTGAACGGATATTAATCATCAAAGGTCATTTGGATAAAAACGTGATGAATCAATTTAGTTGATTATATATATATACATCGGTATATGGTAAGCACTAGAACGATTACGATTATTTGACATATTTTGTTAGATTAAAATAAACTTCGAATAACGGCTTGAAACACGAACGTAAGCATATGTATTTCTCCATTTGTCTCAGCGTCTCCTTTTGCACATTCCAGACCGTTCTTTACGTATATCTCGTCTTTCTCTCGTTATCCTTCCTCCAGGAGCTTTGGATTGCAGACAATTATTCGACTTACGACTCCCTAGAAGAGAAAATTAGTTACTCTAGCGCTATATAATCAGGTTATGTTAGCACAAATAATCATACTCCCTCATGACAACTTTGTTTATTAGACAAACATTAGATGAAAATGTTTCAGCAATATATAGTAGGTAAAATTTACACCGGTATAGAATTATAATTGCTTTTAACTTTTCACAAAGAGTAATGCTTCACTGGACGATATAACGTTATAATAACATTTTAACTGGTTCAAAATCAAACTTGAAATATGATGATCAGGTACATCATTTTTAAACGGAATAAAGAGACTCGATATTGAGTCAATTGAAAATTATGTATCTAGTAATGAGCAATCGATACTTATTTGCGTTAAGTAATTGTTTGACGTTAAAACAAAATAGAAGTGGTAAATAAAGAGATCAATATCGAGCAAGGTTCGTCTAATGTACTTTATGTGAGGCGCAAGCTCACCTCTATTTTCTCTTGCTTTATCGTGTATGTCGCATCACGCGCGTATACGATATTATCGATTCAACTCCGCCACATCGTGGTTATATACGCTTAAGCTGACAGAGCGATAAAACAATATTCGTTCCGCGTTTAATGAAAAAGGTGGTAACTTCTTTTCTTATTTCTACTTTTTTTTTATTGAAAACAGCAACGACGATTACTATCACATCAGGCATATGATATTTTGTCAGCAGCATAAACGACATTAAATCTGGTGTTTTTTTCCTCCATAATCTAAATGTTTGGGTAAAACTTCAATGATGAAATAATGTAATAGTGATTTCATTAGTTAAGATGGATAAAGTTCTCTTAAATAATAGATGCAATTATTGTTTGTGCTAATTGTGCCAGATCGCATATGTAGATGTATGCGCGAAATGAGAAATTTTTACGAATGTGCGCCCACAAACATATTCAATATTGAATACTTTTAGCGCAAGTTTGCTATATGCATCCAGTATCACGAATCCATCGCCAACTATCAACGTCCTAGTTCAAAATAACCAAACATTAATCTGTCTCCTACGTAAATGAGAGACGGTTGAGACGATTAGTGAACATGAACATAGAATAATGTCATAATGTATTAACTAATTGATTCCTTGCGTGAGTGCAAATACTTTGTGAGCACTCGATAAATTTTTAATTAGTGAACTTTCATACGCTTAGCATGTGTGATTATTTTCTCTTCGATGGATACTTTAAAATCATCACCTTTCCCTACCAACAAAATAGCGCAACACACAATTGGTCCTTCGAGTTGAATGAAAAGAAATTCTTCGAGAGTGTGGAGAAAGACATACTATTTTGAAATCCGTAAAATGTAAAATTTTGTGCAGAGTGGAGTGAGAAAAGCAAGTCGAGTCGGTTTAAAGAAAAGAAGATTTACATTATTCTACGATACCAACCACAGCCTACAGGCTTTTCCATCATCAACGAAAGTGTCAGAAAAGGATTAAAGAACTTTTTTCAGAACCAGGAGGAGACTCAGCAGGTGTGTTCAATTGTTGAAGCGAGTTCCAGCTAAAGCCGAGAGGATCCAGTAGTGATCCTCATATTTAAGAAGTCGAAACACTTGTCGAAAAACTTCACAAAGCCATTCTGCATGGAGGCTTTGTATTGATTCAGGCATAGCTCTCTTGACTGTATTGGTTGATGCAAGTAAGAAACATGATGAGAGGAGCTATTAGGAAACGTGTGATAACGTTCAACATAGTGCAATCATCTTGGAAAAAAAAATGAGATCATTACCTTCCGTACAAACAAAATGGACAGGACTTTTCACTTACTCCTGCGTGGATTTATGTGGGACCTTTTTCATCAAAGTTTCTCCAGAGTAAAGATCATATAAAAGATATGTGGCATAACTGTTCGTGTGCCTCGTCGTACGACGGAGCATATGAAGTGTGCACATCGCGACGTCGTGTTTGGTAGTCTTCCACAGGTTTTGCAGTAATGTGGGTTCTGTAAATAAATTTACTCCTGATTTTTCCAGCAACATTTCTTCATCAGTTTCGTTGACCTTATCAAGCTGATCACTTAATAATAAAAGTAGGTTCTATAACTTTAAGCTTTTGAAATATAATGGCTGAATGACTAATTGACTGTACTGTGCGTTAGAAATAATGTGAATAAATAAGAGAATAATGCTTATATATTAAGTTTTTTTTTAAATATGAGGTTGAGACTACGCCGCTACTTGTCAATCGCGTCGTACCAAGCGTTATATTTGGGCTGATTGTTTCGGATCGCATATGTAAATATAAGCGAAAATTGAGGGGCTTATATGAATGTATGCGCGCAGGCTTGGATTACTCAGCAAAATTGAGCATTTTCGGCAAAAGTTTGCTGTACGCATTCAGGATCATCAACCCATTGTCTGTGTCCCAGTTAAAAATAAACGAACGTTAATATTTCTCCTATGTAATTAAGTATTCAATACATTTTGAATTAGTAAACTTTCATATGCTTAGCTTGTATGGTTATTTTCTTTTCGATTAACACTTCACAGTCATCACTTTTCTCTATTAACAGAACAGTGCAATAAACACGTACTGTTTTCATAATATGATTATGATGTAATTGAAATGAAGGCAATATTGCAGTTTCAAACGTTCTATAAGTAAATTTAGGAACTTAAGTGTATTGCTAAAAATTCATTTACAAATTGCTTTGATAAAGAATTCAGAGCAGAGTGAAAATACTTAACCTGAATACAGAATTTATGTTTAATTTTGTATTTTTAAATCCGCTTAAATTGAAATCTGATATCATGATTGTTCGAAATTGGATTTATATCAATGTTTGCAACTGCAGTTTGAGCTTCAAATTCAGTCCGCATAAAGAGAGAACATTATGTGGTACAAGAAGAAAGTATGTAACTAAAAGTCTTATATATTTGTTGCAGGTCACATGGGTCCGACGTAAAGACAGGCAATTGCTAACTGTCGGCCAGGACACTCACTCAGTTGACAAAAGATTTATGGTGAAGCACGTGAACTCCGAGTGGTCGCTGTTGATACAAAAAGTCACCCACGAAGATGCTGGTCTCTACGAATGTCAGGTGGGTTTCTTTTTAGTTCAGCAATCTCGGAATGAAGATTCTTTATTTTGTACTTTTTTCCTTATTCGTTTTATAAACTTTGTGGCGAGTAATTAAAACTGAAATTATTTACGCGAAATATGAATTTACGCGATGTATTTTTAGTAATTATAATAATGAAAGTACGAAACGATCTAATATCCTTTGACTGTACACGTCATCTTCACTTTGATGGTTAAAAACACACATTAGATGTGATTTTACTTTGCGCTGATAAATGATAATCAACTAATAACGATATTCCAACGTTGTTACAAAGTTAATAATAATAGATACATAGAAATAGTCGTGCATTCGACTGTTTTGCGCATTGTCTACGATATTCCAAAACAATGCGATACAATTTAAAATTGAATGTCAATCAAATTTTAATTATATGCCACAAATAACTGTTTCCTACTTGCTACAATGAGAAATTACATTCATTCTTTATGAATAATTGTTGTATGTTACATGTATGGTCAATAAATATGTATGAAATATAGTTAATTGAAATACGTTGTGAAGCATCAAAGTCAGTTATATATTTTATGATGTTTACGTTGCAGGTGGCTTCATTGCCAGTACAACAATACTTTGTAAGACTAAGTATAACGGAGGCATATTCGGTGATTCCTGGTGCTCCAGATTTGCACGTAAAGCAAGGTTCGAATCTACGTCTCGAGTGCCAGTTGATGTCTGCAACCGAGGCACCGCTATACGTATTTTGGTATAGAAACGCGCGGATGATTAATTACGATTCCGAGCCTGGCGTACGGGTCGACTTGACGAAAACCGGCTCGGTACTCGAGGTCGAGAAGACTCAACTAACTCATGGCGGTAACTATACTTGCGCGCCAAGTAATGCCAAAGAGGCCTACGTTATGGTACATGTTATCGAAGGTAAGTTACATTGATTACTTACTTATCGATTTTTTACATTATGTAATTTGGTTATATATTATTTCTGAGGAAGTATATAATTATCTAATAATGAATATAATAACATTTATCTGAAGTTAATTATTTGAAATTAGAGTTTATCACAATTACAGTAGTATAAGTAAAAATTAAATAAAATAAAGCTCATTAAAAGTTAAAAATATTTTGATGATAACGTAATTGATTTTATTTAACTTTTTAAAGAGTTTTGATTTCAATAAAATCTCCGGGTAGTTAACGATTCCTTGCAAAGGTCATCAATTGTAGTTAGCTTCAATTATATTATTTAATTGATTATTCGCTCAAATGAGTCATTCGACATCAGTTTAGCAATATTGTTATTCCCTATTTCGATTACAGCTAAGGATATATGTATATATTTATAGCTCTTTTATGAAATACATATTCATAATGAGTGAAGGTAAACAAATAAAATGTTGTCACTTGTATATCCTTTTGAGCAAATTTAATTAAAAAATAAAAAGAAATGAAGTAACCAACGTTTCGGTAACGTTTTGGAATTACGTTATCAAGGCTATTAAAATGATGAATATTATATAATTTTAATAATATGGCAACTAGTAAAGACGTATATTTTCTGATATATTTTTTTTGATTCGATAATATATACGACTTCTATTCTCTGACGGGAATTTCCTTTTTCATTCTCAACTGGCGGTTTCATGGTATCATATCGATTTCCCACGAGAAACCAGAAGAAGAAATCAATAAAAACTTTCCATAATAGTTACAAAGACGTGCGCGTGTATCAGATGATTTTATTCGTTTTATTCATTAATTTCTCATCGTAATGCGGGACTTTCTTCTTTCAGATGTCTGATAGATGCAGAATTAAACGTGCATGATATATATTCTAAACTCACTTACTCATCTTATATAAGTGAATGAATAGGAAATTCGATGCTATGTAGTGAAAACATCGCAGTAATATATTTCTGTTACAATCATTTATTTTTATATTATTAGTTCAAAAATTCGTTCTCTGTAAAATATTTAATTAATGATGAATATATTTTCAAAAGTTAAAAATTTGACGCAACACGTTTATGAGTGATTTTTTTTCATTTGAATGAAATTCAATGGAGAAAAAATAATGAATAAATCGAAAATTTTACAACGTCAAATGGACAATAACAAAAGAAATGTACTTCATAAAAATTTTTATTGATGAAAGTCCGTCAATGTTTAGTACTCTTGGATCCGCTATGTCTGTTACTCAGTTGGAAACTCAATAAGTCGTGAAAATGTCATTCTCGGGTAGTATAAAGTAACGTATATATCTAGACACTATGCTATATAGCTAAGAAATGCAAGGTAGAGAAAAAGAAAGAGAGAGAGAGAGACAGAGAGAGGGAGAAAGTCAGAGGCGGTCTGGAAGTAAAACAGTGAGATAGATGTAGGGGGAAGACGAGATATTAGTACACACGTACGCGCGCGTAGGGTTGAACTGAGTTTGTAATTTGGTTTTGCAGAGGAGGAGAAGCCCGCGGCGATGCACGGCGGTGACCGGCGCAACTTGAGTCCGGCAATTTTGGCGAGCAACTTTCTCGTCTCGTTGCTGGCGGCCGTCAGCTGGAGGATACCCAGTTTCACGAGCCTCTACCCCACGTGAGCTGCCCGCCAATCGGCTCCTCGACTCGTCGTTGTCGCCTAATAACCGCAATTACGCCAAGAGACACCCAGAGAAGGAGATGCAGGAGAAACCGCTTACCTATCTGAAGGAACTCTGTGCGTACATGCGTGTGTGACTGTGAGTGGGTGTCGAACATGCCTAAGTGTATTTCTGTGTGTTATACTGCCAGAATGAGGAATTGATGATTATCCAGGGCTTGTATGCGGTTTGCATATCATCCCAAGACCGAGTCGGCGGCCTCTCCCCGTTTCTTATTTAGCATATTTTCGGATGCTACGTGTGATCATAAACTATTTATGCCTGTGTATATCCAATCCGATATACACACATATTCTAAAAATACGTATAATATTATTGATGAATATTATTAATAAGTTTTTTTCTATTGTCAGTGTGTGTGTCGTTTTAGTATTATTTTACGCGTTTCCTATTAATCTTTCGTATGAAACTTATCATTTTGTCTGTACAAATGGAAAGGCTTATTGAAGCGCATGTATAGATATATAGTTAGGATAAATTTCTTCAATATTTGGTGTTGTTATGTTAATATCATGCTGTGTTTCGTCAAAATATTATATAACTCTAGCATTTGTTACATTATCGCAAGTAATTCTACTCCAACGCGAAACACGATATTTTTTATGTATTGTACATACGATGATTATTTTAAAAAACACGGTAACTGTGAATATAATATACGTACATTTTTTAAATTACTTGGATGAAGTTGTGGTCGTACGTTATAATGATTAAGAATCTAATCTAATTGCATTATAATCCTTTCAGAATGTAGCGAGCAATCAAGAAAATTTAATTAAATACAATTAACACAAAGACACAGGCAAGAGCACGAAGTATAAGCTATCTACATTTAAGATTGTGCAACTATGAATGTTAAATTTTGTATGCACTTAAGACAGCCAATATAAGTCATAGTATTGATAAATATTTTTGGCGTTCAAACATGAAATAGATATCATTTTAAAGTCTAATAATACATTTCCCATGAACTAAATTGAAATCAATGCCCGTGCAACAGCGATTCCGCGTCACTTTTTATGTATAAACAATATTCATGCATCATACGTAAATACATGGAAGAATTCCGATGAAAGTGTATAAACAGCCTATCTATTTAACTGGGACGTGTAAAAAGAAGTATAACAAATCTTGAAAATACAATTACTCGCAATTTTAATAATTTGAAAATAGGAAATCGGTTTGCAACTCTCACGTGTTCAGGAGACAATTATTATCGATTCGAGTTGCATTTTAATGAATTCGGATATTAGTGCCAAATCAAGTATACTACTCGCTTTGAATATCCATCATTGACGCAATAAAAATCGACACAAGTGACAAATCTCTTGAACAAAATCTAATTTCAAACGATATCATTCGATGACTGAAATTTCGCGCTCGTACAGTATCACTCTTAGTTGTGAAATTACCTATCAAAATTGCATCACTCTATAAGAATTTTTCTATATCAGATGAATTATGTAGTTTCAAATCACAAAATCACGAAACAAACACGCGCATAATTATCCACTGTAACCATAAACAAGTCATTTCGCGCTGGCGTCTCGTCTTCGGCACAGAATCAGATCTTGTGGTTCAATTAGTTACTGCTTGGCCGAGCGACAACTCAATACTGCGAATGTGGTACAATTAGTTACATGTTAAACTGTATAAATTGGAGAAGTCGAGCGTGTAACCTAGTGGTTCCAATTTTTATACGCACGAAAGTATCGCTACAACAAAGTAATCGAAATCATTGAATATTGAACAATGTTTATTTAACATTCAAGTTTATCTAAATTGAAAAGAACATCATCGAAGAAAAATAGCCTCGGGCACTTTGTGAGAAAAAATTCACAGTCAATTGATTTTGCCAGCATGGCTTGGTAAATTAAATTGCTTTCCTATTTTCCATGGCACTTTCACGCACGACTTTTCCAATTTAGATCAGTTGAAAGCTGAATCAGCCAATACAAACGCAAAGAAAGATAAAAAGACGCTATAAATCTGTGCGCGTGAGTAAAGCCCAGAGGCAATGGAAGAGTAAAGCTAAGACAGAGAAAAAGAAGCGTAGAGCTTATCGAGGCGCGCAGTCGCGAGCGCGAATTGACATATAATCGATGTTGAATTCACTTCGACACACAGTTAAAAAATGATGTTGTAGGAAAAAATGTACCTATCCTCAGCATTTCATATTGTTTCTCTTGTAAATACAATTTTTCCAGGCGGGACAGATACAATTTTAAACTGAATGTTGATAGTTAAGACGATCCGTTGTCTCGTTATTTCGCAAAAGTGAGAAGTACTTTTTATGAAGACTATTGTTCGGAAACTTGGACTTATTTCTTTTCTTAAACAATATGCTTGTTCGGCGTCAGTTTACGAAACGAATCCAAATATTTTTGGTGCAATAGTTTAACTTTATGCAGACATCTCTAAAGGCAAGTTATGTTATTATATTCCATTTCGGAAACTCGATTTCGATAGCGATAAAGGTATTGAAGCTTTATTTCATATGCTATTTGAAAGCTATATATATATATTTTTACTTTAACGCATTATATAATTTACAAAAGTATAAAACAAAGTCAAGCTCGTATCGTGAAATTAAAGGAGCTACATGGATTAGCAAAATTGAAAAATATCGGGTATATTTAAGTCATTGCAGATACGTTCGACTTGTATAATATTAATTATTTTCACAACATTACTTTCATTATACATCGTAAATTGTTTTTACTGTCTTATAAGATTATTATCGGTTTTACTTCTATGTAGCGTTTACGAAAAAAAAGATTAATATTGTGAATTATGATTAAAATGTGAAGATTGATGCTACGAATATACGTATCTAAGTGAATTTGTCATCGTCGAAAGACTTATTAATTGATTACAGGAAGTTAAAAGAAGAATATTCAATAAATGGTAAGAATATTAAAAGGATGTACTATTGTCTTTTCATTATTAGACATAATACTTTAAATATTTTGGTTAATTAGTCTACTGAAATTTTTTATTAACAACGATCATTTATTGTTAATGTTCCTGCGAAAAATAAATTTATTTTTGTCCAGAAATGGATATTTAATAACTTAAGCAATGCAAAATTAATCTCTAGTAAATAATGCAACGTTCAAGGGAAGTTTTTAAATTTTTTCCTGCAGCGTTTTATAATTTTGAAAACTTCACAACGTGAGACAAGCAAGTAAGTTTATTATTTTTATTCAATAGTTAGGAGCTAGAACGAAATTAATGATAAAATTTTAATAAAGCATTTGCTTGATATTTACTGCAGATTATTTGTAGATATTTGCTGCTTTCTTTCATACGTTTTTTTTTATTACTTTTCCAATAGCAAGCCATGTATTGCAACTGCCATTACCCACACGTTGTCACGTGAACAAATGGAATAATCGCAACACTAGGCGGTCATACCAATGAGCCTGGCTATATGCAGATCAAAGAATTTGCAAACCAATTTCTTTCAAATTAGTTTGTGCACTCGTGTGTATCTCGACAAAGAGAAAGAGAGAGAGAGAGAGAGAGAGAGAGTGTGTGTGTGTGTGTGAGAGAGAGGGAGAGAAAGAGAGAGAGAGAGAGAGAGAGAGAGAGAGAGAGAGAGAGATAAAAAGAAAAATAAATTTTTGACGATTGCTAAAAAAGTTGGTTGTCGTGCAGCAATTAACGGCCTTGCGAAGCATTCATCGCCCCGCGGTACCTCGTCCCGAGTAGGTACGATATCTTGGCGACTGTTTTTTTTATCTTCATTCAAGTTCTACTTGTTCTATATTTTACATCCAAAGCTTTTAGCCAATTGCGCAAAAGTTTGGTGATTTAGCAAGCGCAGCGAAACACCTCTGTATATCAAGAGTAGTCTTTTCTCGAATTGAAACACGATGGAAATGAAGCAAACGACATATCGTATGTCCTCTCATCTTATATCGATAGTCAAAGGCTACAACGACGCTGGCAACTTTCAAATTTTTCAATTTAGTTTTTTTATTTCATGTAATTTTTGCAACATATAGATTGAAATTTGCAGTTTACATCATTGGCAAAGGAAGCTGCATTATTTTGATAATATTTTCAATATACCATTAAGTTAATAAAATATAACGTTAATAAAGCATTATCGATAACATTCATTGACAAATAACTTTAATCAAATGATTTCATGCACATTTGCACAATATTGTTATACTATTGTAAAGTTATACTACATAAAGTTTTAGAGTATCCTATTATAATATAATATCTTCTTATATCCTCTTATAAGAAAAAGAACTTGATAAAGTGAAGACAGTTTATTCGTAATCTGATTCGCTGAAAAATAGGCATGTGATCAGATGTTATATGATAATAGATGTTATACACGCGTATGAAAGATTGCTATACTTGTATATTTTCGGAAACGATAAAATGTACTTCATTGACAAAATTTTCAAATCATATACGTATCACCATAACTGCTACCAATAAATAATATTGACATAAAATAATATTTAATTCATATTGAATTTTCGAATTTTCTATATCGCTAATAAAAATTTAGATTTGTTTTCGCTTATTAAAATGAATGCAAAAAAAAGAGGAGCGCGCAAAGCACGCTAAACATCATTACTTTTTTCCTCTTAAAATATTATAAATTTGCGTCTTATTCGAAATTTAAGAATTAGCACGGCTATGTAGAATGAAGTACAGTCTTCTATATGTATGAAAAATAAATACAAAAGTATCCCTATCATATACATTAACTTAGCGATGTCAGTCAAAAAAAAATTAATAAATTAGTGTTTAATTTTATAACATCCTCATATGCCTTTTAAATTACATGTTTAAAAGTTATATTTTGAAAAAATGTAACAAACGTAACTATCAACAAGAGATGATGTATTTAAATAATCATGTAATCAATATAATAGTCCATATTGAAAATCCAGTCATCGTGTTACGAACTTATTCATCCAGTTTAATATCTTTAAGATGCCATTACTTTAAAAATTATTTTGGAGAAGCCTCTAGGAGACTGGTTTTTAAAATTGAGTCAGAAGTTTACAAATCAAAACTTACGAAATACTGGTTACATACACGGTAGAGTCAAGTCCGTTAGTAGTGGTGATTTGTTTTACCAATGTCATTCCAGTTCTAGTGAGCGAAAAGTTTTCATGTTGGTACGCTTATTTTGTTTCATTTTTTCTGTACTTCGTGAAAAAAAAATGTCGTAAAATATTTAGAGAACGTTCCTATTTTTGTATCATAAAAATATTTACAGTTTCATATTACCGTACGTCCTAAAATTGTAATATTCATAGGAGGAACATATTAAACATTCTTTTGTTAGGTATATTGCTAATCTTGAGAAAGTACTTCTAATAAGTTAGTTATTTTAAGCTCGCAACTTATTAGTTTTTGTTGTCAGTTTCAAATTTTTATGACTTTTCAACGTAGAGCAAGCGTAAAATATAAGATACTTTATAATCTTCATCACGTTTCTTATCTTTCCTGATAAAAAGTTTATTTTCCTCCGTATAATATTTCATGACCATTAAAATATATGAAACTGTTCTATATTTATTAAAAATGCAAAAACGTTTGGCAAATAAGATCGCATTTTTTCATTAATCTATCAAACATATAAAGCATTTGTTCATAACTGTTTTTTAAAGATTGAATATTACGATTTATTTATGCTGCGATGTTAACATTGTTTTTTTTTTAAATACTATATAACAGTAAAAATATAACTAAAACTTACATGGATTACTTGTATGAATTTTTAACTTAACGAAATCTTGTAACTTTTTAAATCCTACACCATTTATACTTCAGTCGTATTTTTATTTTCTGTACTGAATAATGAAATATCTCATTCACTAGTGACTTAATCGGGTCAATTTTTTTAAATTACGTTGGATGGCATAAATAAGATTAATTACCGAATAAATTTGTTAGTAAAAGTATTTGCTTTTATCGCAAATTGCGATTGGACTATCATGAACTAGAGACTCGTTATAAAAAATCAATATCGAAGATAAGTTGGAGAAAAATTGATAACACTGCGGTGTCTTATATTTCAGATTCTCGTTACTGTCTTGTTGCATTCTTGCTTTCTAAGTGATGCATTCTCGAGCTAATACCGTTTGGATACTTGAGTGTGAGAATTCCCGGTATTTGCTCATAAATCTCACTAAAGTGCTGTTGACCATGTTTGCGCGTAGTCAACTACACAATCTTAAGGCACAGAGTACTAACGGCGTAAGCTGGATTTTGAATATTTGGTTTGGTGTATTGCGATTGCCTATTAATCATGATCACGCGACAACTTTCATATGTAATGTTATACTTAGAAAATGTAAAATTTGTAAGTAGATTGAGACATTATGCAAGAATATCTGATTTCATTTACTTACCAATAGTATTGTAAAATACAGTTTTATGTTGCTGTTTACGTGAACGCAGCAGTTATTTTACTTGGCAGTGTTTTCTTTCTTCTATACTTTCTCAACAACGAATGAAATGGAAATAGTAGCCAATCTCAACGGATGGAAAATCTATTAGCTTGACACCTTATATCACGCAAGCTCAAATATCAAGAAGACGAAAGCAACGAAGGGAATTGGAACCGCAAGCGGAGCTAGTCATGCGTCTGTTGAAAAGCAACCGTATGTTGGGATGTCCTGTGAGCTTGTTGGTATAACTCTAGGGCAGGAGAAGTTTTTGCTGAGCTTTCCCTTTTTTCCGTAGCTTACAGAACGATCTTACCATGCTTTTACCTTCTCGTATGAAGCGCGAGGGGCTAGTTTTATGTTAGCGTAACACTGTCCGTTAGGTGTTTTACGAGCCTTGTGAGAATTTCCCATGTTGAAAGCTCACCTGGCCGAGTTACTGCCCCCGAAAGGCTTTTACCATTTTCATTTGTAGCAGGGATCCAATTTTTTAGAGAGATTGCCAGTTGACACACGTATCGGAAGGCTGATGAGTTATAGACTGATTTAACGATTTGCTCGTAAAACTGAAGCAAGCAATGAATGAACGAGGAGTCAAGTATAAAAGGAGGTGCTTTTGTAATGTCTAACTTTATTATCTGGGTAAATTACGCAGCGTGTCGGATTGGTCACGTTTCCTTCTTTTTTACACAATTGGAAGACACTTTGATGGCTCATAAAGTAAATTGTCCTAATGCTCTAACTGTCTTTCAAATAGAAAGTACGCTGTTAATTATTTGCTTGTGGGAGAACTTGATCGTCCGACAAATTGAATGTTTATGTACCTAATTTTTTAAATCCAGTCTTTCTATTTTTATTGACTTATAAAAAAAGACAATTTACACTTTTCAAAATCCCTTGGCTGGATATTTATTTTTTATTTTTGACATTCAACAGAAACACCACCTATGTCTTTTTCTGTCGTGGTACCTATATTGTCGCAAATGTATCGATGATTTTTCAAGTTGAATTAGTAAAATATGAATATTTGTGCCACAGTGGCATTATAATTTTATAATTGTACGCCTAATGTATTTTCCTTTGTTTTATTCGTTAAAAATATATGTAGTACAGTCATTTATTTCAATTTCGATGAAAAACAAAAATTGTGAGTTATACGAGACGGAATAAGTGAAATGAAGATTAAAAGCAGAAATTACTCTGAAGAAAATAAAATAAAAGAAAATAATGCTCGAGTTTCGGTAACGAAAAAGGCAAAACAAACTGTGGGTAAGTCCTTTTTATCAGAGAAGGCTCTCGCGCGACGCTCATATAGCTGTCTCTTGGATTCTTGGCTTAATCTCGAAATACTGCCTTTTTGAATTTCCCTACGTTACACTGAGTTGTTAAAAATAAGTGCAGTAATAAAGATTAAGTTTTAATTGCAAATAGAGAAGTGATTTGATGTTAAATAGTACAGATAGATCAAGTAAATTAAATTTGATATTCCAG